CCGTTGAGTTGGATGACTGCCGGCGCCATAGGCTGGTCATCAGCACCGGTAGGTTCGCGGCCTAACTGACCCCAATCGTTACGCCCCCACCCGTACACCCGGTGGTCACCGCCCGTGAGGGCTACGCAAAAGCCCCGGCCGTGTCGTATGTGTTTGACTTTTTGATGGCATAGCCCTTGTATGAGCTCAGGCTCGTTGACCGGCTGACAGTGGCCGAGACCCAGTGTGCCGTCGGTGTTGGCGCCCAACCCGTAGACCAGGTCCTCGTCGGTCACAAATAGGGTGTTATAACCGCCGGCGCTGTCGTTGTAGACGTGAAATAGTCTGATCTCTTGCCGTAAATATAGCGGTATTTTGTGGCAAATGTCAAACTTTTCCAGTATTGATGACATTGTGGTAAGTTTTTAGTTGACTATGGTTGTTTTACTTAATGTTTATAATTGTTACGTTCACTTGGTTAATTAAATAAGTAAATATTATTTGTTATTAATATATAATATTTAATTAGGAAATGTTTTTTGATTGTAGTATTTTTCATTACATTTTTCACGTATGTATAAAACTATGTGTTTTTTATTTGATATTTACTCTCAAATAGTGTAATGCATTGAAGTCTATGTCTATCTTTGGGATAACAAGTGATAAGTAAAACAAATATCAAATAAAAAACATAGTTTTTTCATACAATATAAAGATATGGTAGGAATTATTTATGTGTTTTGTTTTAATCAATCGCTTAAAAGTGATGTGACATTTATATTTGTGATACTATATTGAATAAAACTAATATAATGGTTAATTTAACGTAAAAATATTAAAATTTATAAATATTAATGTTGGTAATTTGTAATAGATTGCATATAGATATTTATTTTTCAAAGATTAATACAGTTTGTAAACTGTTTTATACTTAACATTAACAATGGCATTGTTTAACATATCACATAAATTCATTAATCTATAGATTAATATATTTGACAAACTATTGATTGATTGAAATGTCACAAAAATTTATTGATAACATAAAGACAATTTATATTTTTATTCATTAATTTTTTGCATACAAATTGCATACACGCTGTGCACTAAAATATAATACAAGTATTTATACAAAGGTAAATTATTTTACAAATAATAATAAGCAGTCACTTATTGTTTTACGTAGCTTAATATAACATTATACAAATATAAGTTAATTATTTATTTTACTTTAAATAAATTGCATAAATGTCTGAACAGAAGGATAAGGCGGGTCTGACAAAGACCGAGAAGGATTTTGTTCGCAATACCTGGGAATTGGTCAAACAGGATGTGCCCGGTAATGGTGCCGCACTATTTCTCAGGTTTGTTATGCTTTAGATAATTATTATTCTAAAATAACATTTATAGTATAATTATATTTTATGTGATAAATATTAAAAACACTATTGTCTATATAAATTATTGTTTGGTGTTTTAAACTCGTTTACATTTTATTAATCTTTTAAAATTACTTAATAAAAATGAAAATGCTTAATTAATTTAATTATTTACATAGATTCTTTGATGAAAACCCGACTTACCAGGGTCTATTTAAGGCGTTCAAAGATGTACCAAAAGCTGAATTGAGGGGTAATAAGCGATTCTTAGCTCACGTGACAAGTGTTATGTACACCCTATCGATGATTGTGGACAATATCGATGAGACAGAAGTGTTGGTCGAGATGTTGACCAAAATGGCTGACAACCACTTAAGACACAAGACATCGGTTGAGATGTTTGCAAATCTGAAGACAAGTTTGTTTGGATTATTGACCGACAAATTGGGTCCAAAGGTTATGACCGCCGACGCCGTCAACGCATGGGATAAGACATATTCAGTGATCGTATCGGTTGTTACGCCGATATTAACTTAATCATGATCAATTAATTATAATAATTAGAATAGTATACATTAATAAATAATTATCTTAATTACATATACAGTATAGCAATGCCATAGTGTTTAAATAGATGTGAAGAATTAAATACATTTTCACTGACAATAAAAACACTGGATTAGCATGTTGATTAATAATAAACGATGATATTCTGTCAAAATATTTATTTGTGCCAAGATGAGTAATTTGATCATAATATACCTCGTTCATTTTAATGAGCAGTTTTAAAAATTGGTGTGTGGCGATCAACACCATGGACTTTTTATGGCACATTTCAACGATTAATGGATTCATTAGCCCTGTGTAAAAATCAACATAACCAACATCGATGTAGTTATTATCCCACCCATTGGATAACGCTGTGTTCAGTAGATTATACTCCTCAGGATTAGTTTTTGTCTGGTAAACATGTTAAATTAAAATAAAAATACTAATTGTATTTATGAAATATTTACTAAAGTATCATGTAATGTTGTGTTAGTAATAAACAGCTTAGGCTGGATGTGTGACCTGGACTGTAAGTCTCTGAGAGAATCGATTACAGAATATGGATTTGTTATAGTAATCGATAAAACCATTTGATGGAAATGTGTTGTTATTATTAAACCGCCGATTAATAGACTGCCCATTAATACCACGTATGGTTTTGTATGACATTTCATTTTAAAATCTATAATTAATATATTTAAGCATTTAGTTGAATTAAATTTTGTATTTCATTATAATGACAATATTATACATGATAAATTTTTACCTTCATTTAATATTGGAGAGATGGTAATAAAATAGTGATCACATACTGATTTTAGTAACTTATTAATGTAGAAATGCTTTTTATTAATTATTTTTGTATAACATTTACTAAATATTTGGTTAACATTTATAACAGATAATAAAACTGTTAAAACAATAATACTTAACGCCAATAGTGACCAGAACTGCATATCCAATAGTATTATAGCAATTATTTATAACAATTAGAATATAATTATTAATTATTATTCATCTGTTACTCACATATACATCAAATATTTCAAGTACTCCATCAAGGTGATTTCTCTCTGCGTTAGGATATTTAGAGCCCAATATAGCTATTGTTGGTTCAATTATTGGCGATATAAATGTCGCAAATGATAGCATGGCTTCATTAATATACGGCGGATTCAACATTATATCCAATTGCTATTAAATACATTGTAAATACATAATATATAAGGTTAGTTATAATTTTCTAGGGTGATTTATATACAATCAATTACTTTGGTATAAATATAGCCAACTCCGGGTGCGATACGATCATGGTTATTTGGTATGGTCAAGTTACGCTGCGAATTAAGCATGATTGGTAATGCGCTACGTTATAAGTTATTATGGTATTAATAACAATTAAAGCATTAATTATAATTTTATTATTAATTAGTTTATTAATTAGTTTACCCATATTGAGTGCGCTTAACCAGTTGCTTTACTAATTCGTATAGTGGGCTACACAACGTTCTATCAGAATTTTCTGTCTAAGTAATTTAGAAAATATATTTTAATTATTATGCATTTATATTGCTATTAAATATAAAAAATTATTAATATTTTTAACAGTATAATATTTTAGTCTAGCAAGTTACTTATCAGGATTATTAATTAAACAATTTTAATATTACATTTCCAAGCCAGTTGAATGTGAAATTGCCCCTAGCTACAAAATTGTAGCCAAATTGAAAAGGCACAGTTGAATATGCCACTTTACTGTTGCACTCAAAATTGGGCGATTTCTTTATTAAAAAATCCATTATGGTTGATATATTTTTAATACGCTAAATTATTATGCTAAACAGTAAATACTGCGTAAAAATAAAAAGATATTAATAAAATTTTTAACCAAATATTGTTATCATTCCTATTATTTTCATGAATAGCAAACTAAAAATATATTAATATTTTATTGTAATTTATATTATAATTTTAGTTTTAATATAATATAAAATATTGAAAACATTTAAATTATAAAATCAATATTATTAATATAGTGAGAAGTATTTAGTTGGTAATAAATTAGATTCATAAAACATTATAATGCTAAATAAATGTATATTGTATATTTAAAAATACATTAAGCGATAATATAATTTAATATTGTTTAAATGAAATAAATAAATGCAATTTACAACATTAATATTTAATGTAATATCTGATATAAGATGATAAAATAACATTGTAAATATATAGTATGTAATGTTTATTTGATAATAAAAATAGTAAAATACAATTATTAAATTATTGTAATAATATAATCAACTAATTAAAATTATTTACAGTTATAATTTGTATAATTCTGTATAAAGTTATAATTTGCAGAATTTATAAGCAAATTTCAAATTTTATATTTTAATTAATTCTTTATTTTATTAAATATTTAATAATGTTTTTGTAATAAAAGTAATTGTATTAAATTCCTTAATAAATTTTCATTTAATAATCTATCAATTTTGATTAATTTATTAATTATAATACTTATTTTAAAAATGTGTTTAAATAAAATATTATATAATATTAAAAATATTTTGAGTAGACATTTAAATTGGTTAATAAACAAGCACACTATTTACTATTATTAATTATATTTTTATAATTACTATTTAAAATTCACATCAATCATTCAGATATATAAAATCTTGACATTAAAATATTGCCAAACAATTAATACCACTTATACTTTATTATCATACTGTATATCTCTTATCGGGAAAACACATAAAACAAGTTTCTCCCAAACAGTATGTGCTGTGTATATCAGTGCAAAATGCACATGTTAGTTTATAGCGTGTATACTCGTATAGAAATGCACTTAAATACACCAAGTTTTATATAAAAAGGTAAACTAAAATTAATATTTATATCACTTGTGCTCTTCAAGTTAATCATAAACTTAGTATACTATTAATTTAATATTACATTTAATAAATTTATAAAGATAATTGCCTAAATGTCTCAACAAAAGGATCAAGCTGGTTTGACTGAGACCGAGAGGGATTTTGTCCGAAATACATGGGAATTGGTGCGACAGGATGTGCCCGGCAATGGTAGCGATCTATTTCTTAGGTTTGATATTACAATTTGTATATTAAAATATATAAATTATAATTAATAAGCATAAAACAATAACTAAAGTAAATAATTTAAATAATTAAATCTAGATTGTTTGACGAGAATCCCGAATATCAGGCTCTATTCAAAGCGTTTAAAAGTGTGCCAAAGGCTGAGTTGAGATACAACAAGCGATTTGTGGCTCACGTGACAAACGTTATGTACACCCTATCGATGATTGTGGACAATATCGATGAGACGGAAGTGTTGGTCGAGATGTTGACCAAAATGGCTGACAATCATAGGAGACATAAGTCGACGGTTCAGATGTTTGTGAATCTGAAGACAAGTTTGTTTGGATTATTGACCGACAAATTGGGACCAAATGTTATGACCGCCGACGCCGTCAACGCCTGGGATAAGACATATTCAGTGATTGTATCGGTATTTACGCCAATATTAGAGCAATCATAAATATAATTAACTATGTAACAATAATTGTTTAGTTATTTTTAACCACAATTAAAATATGAATAAAGTGGTTTATTCTTATCCTTTATTATAACTTTTTGCTGGTATTTTATCACAAATTATTTTAATTATAAATACAGTAATTTTATAATAATAAATATTATATATTAAATCTATTGACAATAAACTTACGCATATATTTTAATAAATGATAATTTTAAATTAATAAAATTTTTATTATATTAAAACCACTACAGTCGAATTATTTCGCAACTTATTTTGAAAGATACAAGTTATTTTTAAATTAAATATTTAAATAGATTATTAATAAATTAAAACATGAATTTAGCACAATTTGAGAGAGAGAGAGAGAGAGAGAGAGATAACTCAACGGCAAACGTGTGAAACACGTCGCGTGCGGTTACGACCACTGTTTGGCGCTGACGGCCGACCGGGAAGTGTACGGCTGGGGCCGTAACACGTGGGGCGAAGTGGGCGTCGACGACACGGTTCGCACCGGTATATACCAGCCCTCGAGGCTACTGTTTCCCGGGGGTGATCACAAAATACGCCAGGTACATTGCGGCGATAGTACCTCGTTTGCCGTAACCACGGAGGGGCTGGTGTTCGGGTGGGGCCGTAACGATGGCCACCAATTGGGCCACAATAGGCCCGACCCGGTGTTTGGCCCCCTATTGGTTGAGGGTCTGCATAGTATACACACTGTATGCCCGGCGCCGCCCAATAACACCTATTTTATGACCGAAAACGGTTTGCTGTACTTCAGCGGCAAATACGTGGCCACCGATGGACAGGTGCTGTTTCACAGACGCCCGGCGCTCATCGAAACGGTAACCCATTTTCAAGAGCTGAGGCAAGTTTGTCGCACCAGTAATAGCCCGATCGATCACTACCTGTGCAGCACAGGCGCCGACTCGTGTGTTTGAGCACAAATTCCTATACATTCAACTCGAGTACTGTTCGCATACACTGAAGGACATCATTGCCCTAAAGGGGCCCGAGTTTGGGCGCCT